GCGGGTTGCCAACCCCTGATGTAGATGATATATTTTGACACTCTGTGATATTTATGCTTGATGTGTCATTCATTCATGCAGCTTAGTTAAGAGCCATACACAGAAATTCCCATTCAAAGTCCTGTGATTTGTCTTGTAGTTCTACCTAAAATGTTCTAGTGTATGGTGTTAAACCTATTTATACAACTTTTTGTTCAATTACAGATGTTTTTATTGCTCAAAAATCCCATACTGTGCACCTTACAGGCAAAGCAAACACCTATAAGGCTCCTAAATCAAAGTGTCTGGAAATGAGTCTGCTCCGGTGTTTATCGTGAGTGTGGCTTACTGTGTATCTTAACTGTAAGACTCTACACCACCAAGACAGATTTCCCCAAGGGGACACTAAAGTATATTGTACTGTAAAAGCATCTCCATGGAGACAAATGGATGACAGATCCTCCTCCAGTAAAGTTTCATAGTGCACCCTGAGGCGCATCGTTCAACCAGTGCCTCTCCCAGTTCTCTTTTCTGATTTGGCCCTGGTTTGATCTCAGTTCAACCCTGCTGTCCTCTTCATCATTCATTTTTTCAAGAGTTATATATATATATATATATATATATATATATATATATATATATATAATATACACATATATATGATAGCGCCGGGTACGTTAACACGCTAATTTTGCGTTAACTAATTAATTCATTATTGCTGACAATTATTTTAACGGCATTAACTCTGTTTTGTTTTTTTGTTTTTTTTAATTGTAAACGTCTGTTGCTCACTGGCTTTTATTTTGAAAAAGTCTACCGCGAGCGTTTCTTTAATTACATTTTCCCTTTTTTTCTGACCATGTGAGATGCAATGTGTCCAAGCCTCTGCGGGCCGTGGGCATAACTCGGCCAGGCCAGACCAGCTGTGGGCTTTGAGCTTCCGTGGACTCCTAGCTCTGACCGGGCTGAGAGCTCCAGTTCTTTCTTCTCCTTCTTCCAGACGCCCCTGAGGCATCCAAATAGAGGTGTCCAGTGCAGTTTTCGTCGCTGCAGTTTCGCTTACATTATGCTATTACAGGGTATTCGCAAAGGCCCAGAAGATTTCATGATATGATTCCGCCCATAACTCGGTCACCGATTTACCCAGATACCATTGGAAGAAAAACTGTGATTGGTCCATTTCCATTTCATTATATTAACCCTTTGTTTCCCAAGAAATATCAGACCAAGTTTATAACAATGATCTAGAAATTATTACTAGTGAAGTGTTTATTACTCACAGCATAAAAAATATTCAATAAATATGTTAATAGTACAAAAATGTATTCAATATTTTTTCTTGAGCCTTCAGAATACCTTGAAGGCTCTGAGGGTTCCCCTCTGAAAGAAATGCTGTTTGTATTTACATTTCCAATAAAAGGGCGCTATACGCTACTTTTTAATACATTAATTGGTTTTGCGTATAACATGCGATTAATTGTACTCAAACTCATGCAATTAATGCGATTAATATTTTTTTTATTTTTGCCCAGCCCTTAAATATATATATATATATATATATATATATATATATATATATATATATATATATATATATATATATATTTATATGTGTGTGTGTGTGTGTGTGTGTGTACAATTCCAGTTGTCAACAAGTGTGTGTATTGTTAAAAAAAAAACATATAGCCATGTTGTATAACTGAAAAAAAAAGAAAGAAAAAATGTACACAGAATTGGCCATGACTTGTTTTGATTTTACACTTGATTTCTATTCATTTAGATTGACTCAACACATGTCTGCTGCTAGAAAACATGAGCCCCCAATAACTGACTTCTAACATGCAGATAACAGAACACATTGATGGAGGCATGGTGGGTTTTGCCCAAGAACACTGTGCAACATCGGAAGTGGCAGGAACAAACTGATAACAGTGTGTGTGAGATTCAGAGTATTGATTCCAAATAACCTTATATAAGGCACTATACCCGATTTAATTCCCATGTATTTGACCAAATAATTTCTTGCCCCAGTACAGATATGTAAAAAGGTCAAAATAAAGTAAAAATAATAAGACCATAGCATGGTCTCTGCATCTAATAACATTGATGTCTGAGAGTTGTGAAAGGTGCTTACACAGTAAAATTTCCAAGTGTCAAATTAACACTTAAAGAGTAAAATTTTACTCTATTTCCGAGTGTATATGGTCCTTATCTGTACAGAGTAAAATTTACTCTAGCTTCAGAGTAAAAATTTTCAGTGTCAAATTTACACTTAAAGAGTAAGCTGATGACACTCTGTAGTGTTTTCAGAATTTTACTCTAGTCGATTATTTACTCTACACAGAGTGAATAGTACTAAAAGTAGTGTTCATTGTTTACTCTGTTGCAGTGCTAATAATGACACTTATTAGAGTGATTTTAATAACAGCTATAACACTCCATAGAGTAAAAATTACTCTTTGTAAGGGTCATATTTAATCATCATATTTACTCTTGCAAGAGTTAATTTCACAATTTTATAGTGCAAATTACACTCTGCTACTAAAGAAATAAAACCACAAATTGCAAATATAAATGCCAATTTATTTATGTTAAAACATCATTTCAATAAAACATTGACTTAAGATACAAAATGACAGTAAGGTACAACATACTTGGATGAATCCAAAGTTCCATACTTCATTTGAACATCAAATGGCTTGTAGTAACACAGTTCGCTCACTGTAAACACTTTTGAAACTTTGTCTGGATGCCGTTGGATCTTAAAAGCATAGAAATGTTGGTCAAAACAGACAGTGTCCATAAGATCACCACAGAAGACAACAGTCTCATTGATCACAGAAATGGCTTTGATCATATAAAACACAGGTATTCCAGAAAGTACCTTTGTACAGACAATGCAGTTTGGACGATATTCTGTCCCATGACATTTAACCCACTTAACGGAAAATACATTTGTTGATAAGTCACATTTCAACTTGGAAGCAATATCTGGACCTTCTCTGATCTGACAAAGTGGGATGATCTTTCCTGGACCTAAAGTTAGCTGTTCCTTGGTAAATGACTCCTGGCCCAACGCCATACAATTCTGGTGCTTCTTGGCTAAAGTCAGTGTGATGTTTTTGAAGCTTTTCAACTGTTTTTTAAAGAAGTTATGTTTGGCTTCATAGCGCATGCACCAAAAGTAGAGGACTGGGCCAACTTTTCTTATGCTACGGGGATAGTGGAGCATAAAATGATGCTTCGGAAGGAGATTCATTGTTGGAAATAAGCGCTTAAAAAGTCTATGATGATCAGCGATTAAATGTTTTAGGTATACCGTCATACCTTTAGAAAGAACAGGAGAAAATATAATGTTGACAATTTGGAGAAGCAAAAGCAGAAGTTCCCAATGCTCATCTCCTGTCTCTATTAAATCCCCGAACAACAAAGGCAAGTTGCGCAGTAAGCACCAAGATTGTATAGCGTTAAGTCCCAAATCATTGCTTCCATCACACAATTTGATTCCTGGTGGTCGATTTCGCCGTTGAATGTAGCCATAATCAAAAGCATGTATTCTACCTGAAAGCTGCTCTGCACTAATATAGTTTTCTTGAATGTACTGGAGAATAAGCTTCATTTCAAACTGCCCAACACCCTCTAGAATGTCATGCATGATATCAACAGCAAAATTGTTGGCTGTGTTAAAATACTGCAGTGAATTCAACAAACAACTGCGTTTCACACCAAATACATGAGACAGTGTAGAGTCTGAGTCAGCAGTTTGACAATGCTGTGCATGTAACTCAACAGTTCTTAATATTACTTCAGGATTGTCTTCACAGAATACAGTTTGGAATTTTTCTTTTTCAAGAAGACAGAAGCGACAGCAATAGCGAGCCCCAAATGACTCCACAAAGCCAAAAATACTATGCAAGCCAAGATTGTCTCCTGTTACTTGAACTATTGTTCCATAAACAACATGATCAGACCTGGGAACTTTAAGACCCTCATTCTCAAGAATTTTAAGATCACCGACAAGAGGCTCAAGTATAGCGTTAAAACCATACCGCTTGACATCTTGGGCATGAAAAAGAGCACACAAGTAAATATTTGATAGTGAAGAATTATAAACCGGTGGGAAATTCCTCAATGTAAAATAAATGGCACCCAATTTGTGAATCCCCTTTTTGGAGCCTAGAGGATTTGCAGTTTCAAAATCATCATAAAACAACTGAATCTGCAAAGCATCTATCTTCTGAGAGAAGAGAAGATTTTCTTTCAGATAGGTGGCATCCATTATGTCCGAATATGTGCCTTCATTTTCATTATGTGGACTGTTTAAAATTACGGCCAGATTAGGGTTTAGATAAACAGTTTTTAGGGTTTCCAAAATTGGGATGTATGCAAATTTATCAGTAACAACAACTTGCTCATAGGTACCAGTAGATTTGTTTCTTCTACTATCAAATCGTGTGCCAAGAACCTTTTCAACTGGGTCAACAATTTTCCATTTCTCAGCAAAATGTTTTACTCGTTTACTTTCTGAATTTATGGGTGTAAATGGATTCTCAAGCATATGAAAGGACTGCTCAATTTTGTTCATAATTTCTGTATCCTGTGAAGACAAACACTGTAAAGCTGCATTTTTAGCCTGAATGTGGATCTCAGTAAAAGCTTCCTCCATGCAAGAAACAAAACCATTCAGGGTTGACTGACTTAAACCAGCTGCCTTAAGCTGTGCAACTGCAGAGGCGCATATATCTAGAGTGCTCTTGTTAGAAGGTTGAAGCTCATCTGAAGTTCTCTCTTCCATGTAACCCATGTGTGTCTCACTTTGACAACTGCCACCAACATCTGGGACAACATCAGCCAATTCAGTAGCTGTTGCACTATGGTCACTGTGCTTGGCATTTAAGTGCTTTCTAAACCCAGAGAAGGAACCAAACACACGACCACATCCAGTCTCAACACATCTAAGACGGAGGGTTTTTCCTGGAAGAAACCCATGGAACAGTTTGATATGCCTAACAAGCAAATTTGAACTCTGGAACTCAGCTCGGCAAACACTGCACTTCATAGAAACACTAATGAAGTAACCTTGCTCTTATTTCTGCAATACGGGGTCTCTCCCTCACCTTGCCAACATCAATATTGTAAATTGTGGTCTGAATGAATGTGTACATGTTGTACAACATGGTGTGGTATGATGTGCCAAACACAAAATGTGCCTTAAACAACTCATCAAAAGAACTTAAAGAGGAGTTAGACATACAGGGGATGGCAGTCTTGTCCAGGATAATGAAGTACTGGCTGATCCTGTTCCTTTGGGTGCCAACAGCAAGGAGATAAGGCTGAGTGCTAGAAGTGATGGTGTCGAGATGTTCTTCGATACTTGTGCCACTCTGAAAAACATGTAAAAGATGTTTAGTTTTAAAAAATAACAGCATAAACTTGTTCTTATGACAGACAAAAAATTTAGGCAACTTTGCACTGGTTAACATGGTCAGAAACTTTTTTTTTCCAGTGATGAGCAAGAAACTATGCACACCTTCTTGAAGACCACAAGATGTTTTTCTGCTTGAGATGCTGACATCTTCCCCGGTTTCTTACGGCCTTGAGCAGTGGGTGGAACAAGATGCAGAAGCAACAAAATAGAAGCAAAGTCACTATCCCAGCCTTTGAAAAGAAAAAAAGAAAAACACAACACACATTGTTTTACTTAAAAACTGATGTTATGTTTTGAACTGAATTTTAATTCTTAGAGGTCATTTGCATGTTAAAGAATTTGAAAGGTTAGTTAATAACTTACCAAAGTCAGCACCATCAGCATCATCCTCCTGAGGATCTGCAGCCAATAGGAGGTCATTTAGCTCTGTGGTGGAGGGAAGCTTTCTGCACTGCTTGATTATCTTCTCCTTGAACATTGTTGGCCATTTCTCCAGAAACTTGCCAGATACATCCTCACCAAACATCAGAACAAAATCTTGTTCAATCTGTATTAAGAGAGAATGGATTGATGAATTTGCAGCTGATTGTGCCTTTTGATTTACTATGAACCTTAAATTCATCAGATCAGATTTATTTTATCAGTAAAAAAGGGATAAATATATGTATTTAGGTTTTAAATCATTGCAATATGAGTAGACCTATTCTACAAAATTATTAACTAATCAAATATGCACGTAATATCTGATGTCTAGACATAGCCTCAATTCCAATACTCATAATTGATAATTACCAATCCTTTGACGTCTTTGAATCGAGGGAAGTGTGACAGTATGTTGCTTGACAACTGGGGGTCCAGGACCATGCTTCGACGATGAGCAAACGTTTGCTTCATTTTCTTCTTCACTGTGTTTTCATCAGAGGAGTGTTTCATCAGGGACATGGCTTCTCGACATTCTTCTTCACTCATTGGTGGCTCTGGAAGATACTGGGACTCCCGCCTGGCTGTTGGTCCTCCCAACAGTTCGTCACCGCTCATTCCTTCAGTGGAGGAGGCTAGAATGCACAAATAATCAAAATAACTGCAGGACAAAACAGCCCTCAAAATGTACAATATTTTGTCTTGATGTATTTTAAAAACTTACCTTCAATTGATTTTCTTTCTTGGGCATTGCATCTTTGAATGTATTTAAGCCTCCAAGCCAAGTAGCCACTGTCACTTTTACCATCATAATAATGCTCCTGGATGTAACATTAATAATAATAATAATAATAATAATTAAAAAAAAAGATTTTTAGTGAATACAAGATAGATTAGAAATTACTAATTCACTGAAATATACTACTCACGTGTCCATTTTCTGAGAAGGGGTCCCAGAGATGGGGGAACAAGCTCACAATTCCTCTGGCATATTTTTCTTTCACTCGTCTGGGTGGAGATGTACTGCAAAATTAGAACGATAAATTACCATTTCTGTACATTAAAAGCTGCAGATAAATAAAAACATACCCATTTTTCTCTGGCAGATGACACCCGAAAAAAAATGGTGAACATTCTTGCTGCTGATATGACAAAGACTTAGTTCGATTGTACTCCATTATTACCCTTTCTCCCCCAGGCTTTTTGGAAAGAATGTCTTTCACCAACTATATAAAAAGAAAAATGAAATAGGTATTAAAACCAAGCAATTCAAAATATACAGTATTCAAGCTGTACACCTTCACTTAAGTCATACATGCTTAGCCTCGTCATCCAGCCGCTGACGCTTCGAAGCAGGACTAACAGGAAGTATGATTGTGTCCTGGGAGTCACCACTGCTGGGTGAAGAAGCACAAGGCCCAGGAGAAGAGAAACTCTCAACATTCCCTTTGTAAAAAGAAAAGTAAAACAAACATTAAAAACATACTGTGTTCTGAGACCATCAGTGAGTTAAGAAAAACAATTAAAGTAAAGAGTGGCCAAGTCATGTTTAACAAACAATACAAACCAGTATCATATGTGATGGTCAGAACACCAGTTTGAGGATCCTTTACCACATCCTCAAAAACATCCTCATCAAGCTCAGTTCCAGAACTGTCAAGGACACGTACACCTTCTGTCACAGCTGGAACACCAAACTTGGTAAATGCTAATAAGAAATAAACAGTATGAACAATTTGTAAATAAAATGTGACTCCGCCATACACAAAGGACATTTCAATCACTTACAAGCCATGTTTCATTTGCAAAATTATTCTCAGAGTTCATTATATTTACTGCTATCAAACATTGAATTAAAACTAAATAATGCTGTTCTTTTCAGTGTAATTTGTTGCTGTAATACCAGCACCACATCTGACAGTTAAGATTAGTACTGTTCTGATATTTAATAATAATATTATTTATTAGTTACCAGTTACAAGTTGAAAATGTGGTCATTATACTATATTACTTACCTGCATCCAGAAATGCTGTCAGATTCGGCTCAGGAACTCGAACAAATTTTTGGACGTTGGCTATTTTAACTTTCAGCAGCATTTTTCCTGAAAAAAGACAGAACATGTTTATAATGCCAAGACACTCTTCACTGTATTATGAAATCCATACAGTTCAACCGTTATTTTGTGCACACTTACACCAATGCTGCCGTGCTCGGGCACGAATGTGGGAGATTTTGTTGCCTGCACGTTCACCTGCACAAATAAAAACACGGCACCGGTACAGTGACGTCACCACACAGAGCTGTTTACATGACGAGCTGATGTCTTAACGCTCCAGCGGCGAAAATACGTACAAGAGGACACAAATAGTGGCGCCGATACGAGTCCTGTTGTGATACGCTCCTCCGTGACTCAATGGCAACACGGAGCCGCGCTCGCAACAGGGCTTCACATCCTCAGTCCTATTTATGGTGTGCGCGGATCCGTCGGTCGTTTTGGAAAGGAGTTAAAACACTTTCTCCAGTCGGGTTCACCTCCACGCATAGCCCTGACCGGGCTCGTACACTAAAGTCGTGCGTGTGCACGGAAACAAGGTAACGTGCCGTACTTTAGTTCACTTCCCCAAACAGAGCCAAAATGGAAATGTTCCGCGCCTGGATATGGATCGTTTGCATTCACATTAGACACATTTATGGTGCTTGGCTTTCCGTGCTCAGGCACAATTCGACTGGGTTTATTATGAGCACATCCTTAAGAAAACTCCGGTTTACATAGTCCTTTGTCACCGACTATTTCATGGTCCGCCTCAGCTACGCTCCCTATCATAGTCCAGATTCAATCAAATAGTACACATGAACTACTTAATGCTAAAACAACGCAAAAAACCCTTCAGATTATAGTTCTTAGTCGCGCACATTACTTGCTAAGTGTAGCAAAGACATTTGCAGACTGTGACCATGATATAGACGGAGACGGGGCGTTCCTGGTCACTGTCCGTATTGAAATGAATTGAACGGAGAATAAAATCTTACGTTTGGTAGCAATACTTGAAAGTTACCCCTTCGATGTAGATTCTTAGAATATAATTATCCATTTAGAACCATTTTCAAACTGCATATCTGGCAATTCGTTTCAAATTGAGTGTCCGTTTTTTCTCCCCCGAAACTAGCTAGCCAGCCCGCCCGTTCGCACCTCGCGCGGGCTCGATATAACCGCTTAGTATGTCATAAACATCACAAGGTAGACAAATAAATATGCTATACCCAGCCATTCTAGCACATTTATACTTGAAATGTAGCTGAAATTGCCAAACTACTACTTACTTGAGACTTGTAGCGGCCACTGGTCGAAGTGAAGCGAGGAGGGAAAAATGGCGGACTCGAAAAAGTTTGAGAGGAGTTTGAGGGGGCGGAGCTTCTCAGTGCAATTATGACACTGAAGGACTTACACTGTGTTTTTACAAGGACGCTAGAGGGAGTATCACTCAATTTTTTGTAATATATACTCTTAAAGAGTAAAAAAACTTTTACTATGGATTTTTTACACTGGAAAATTTACCGTGTATAAACTCTTGTTCAGAATGCTTAAAGTAAATCAGGAATAAGTTTGGACCCCTGCAAACAAATTTAAATGAACTATTTCTGTTTTTCACATTTAAGACCTGCAGAACCAGAATTACATATAACACTGTGATGATATATTTTCTTTTGGTTGGAAAATGCCAAAATTACAATGCAAAATCACTGGAGAAAATGACTAAAATACCCCTGGTCCACTGTTCTTCAGCTTCAGTGGCATCAAATAGACATTCAGGACAATCTCTAAGTCCATACAATACATGCACTACAGAAGCAAAGGGTTTTAGATGTCCTGGGATCAGTTTGAATGACTACTAGTCTTGGTGTCAAATTGAAACTGCACAAGCTGTTATCACATATTACTATTATATACTGTAACATTCCAGGGAAAGCACTTACAATTCCATGGAGACAAGCAAGTAGCTTTAACCTCCCTGGAAAAGTGACCCTGTAATGGAAGAAAGCATAACTTCTATAGACTACAAGTGAATGTTGTAAAGTGGCATTTCAAAATACACAAACTATCCATTCATTGAATTGTTATTGGTCTTTAAACTCTTGCAAGTCTTTACTTAGGCGGGTTATAGAGAGACAGGGAGAGAGATACTTTTTTTGATCCTGAGGGAAATTCATGTTTTGCTCCAGCAAAATGTTGCAGTTGATGTTGCTGCAACATTTATACTGTGCATCTTAGTGGCCTTTGTGTCTCAGTTTAGGACTGGCCAGGTAGGGTCAGCAGATCATGTGGAGGAGCCAAAAGTGCCCCTCCTCTGTGTCCTGCAGCATCACAGCAGCGTCCAGTGGGTGCCAGGTGAACACAACAGGAAAGGTCTCATTCTGACTCTGCTCTGGTGTTTCGTTGGTGACAAAAGGGTCGATTCCCTCATTGTTTCTTCTGTAAGATTGTCTGCCACATCTGCTGTCACATATGGTGTAAAAAGCCTGTAGCATCTCAAATGTCCACCCTAGCTTCTCAGCTAGCTCCTTAGCTACCCTCTAGCATGGTTTCCATGGATACAAGAAAAACAAGTAGCTCATTTCACAAAATCTAACAGTCCCTTACTTGTGTTGCTGCACTTCTTAGTTGGTTAAAATGCCATGATATAATATTAAAAACTGAGCTCAAAAACAAAGTTTCAAAAAGTGCTCAGTGTGTGAGCGAGGTAGCCACAAGAGCAGCAAATCACTCTGTTGTACATACAGTGCACATGTACACTGTGTATGACAGATTTTGCCGATTGTCTCATTTCGACTCAAGCTGGTGGGATAATACATGTTGTAAATATAAATTCTAGTTTTACACCAAGAACCAACCTGTAGAAACATTGAAATTATATTGAACATTACAAGCAGAGATGTATAGATTCTATTTTAAAGAGTTCCATATTGATAACATCACACTAGGGAGGATTTTATCCAAATGTTTGATACAAATGTAATGATCTTAACTGTGTTTTAGCAAAAAACACAGTTCCTTATAACGTTTACAAAGAATGCAGTAGAAATAGTCAGAGCAAGTCTAACAGTGATTTTTTGACAAAGTAGAAGACCTCCGCAATTTCACCTTTGATGTCACAAATTTGAGAAATTTGAAATGAGAGAAGACTTAATTAAAGGTCCTATATTACACGAGATTAACCCTTGTGAGCTTTAACCCAGGTGTTACGGCACGTGGCCTGGGCCCACCTCACCCTGCATTCACCGTTAATTTTACCCCTTGTGCCTTTTGCTAGTTGCATGTGCTGTGTGAAACCTGGCACCTGATTGGTGGGGTACATCCTCACCTCTGCTGGGCTGGCTTCAGTTTCCTGCTGCAGTGGTTGGAGTACTGACGTTCTCCTCCTCCAGTCCCCTTCCTGAGCCTGTCAGAGTGTCACCCAGTAAAAGTGCTGCACATCTGTTCGTCTTGGCAGCTGGACTACAACATCAGCTCACCACATTCCACTCTAGACATGTCTCTCATTGCCTCCTGTTAACTGTGGAATTTGCATGTGAGACCTATTGTTTGTGATTGCCAATATGGCTCAGCCCTTGGACATTTGTATTTTCTTTGATTAGCCTTATCCATTTAGAGTTATTGAACTTCTGATTTATAATCTTATGTATATATATATTTTTATTATTATTTTGTTATTGTGCTTACTTACATTTACTACAAAAACACTTAACTTAAATCACATCTCATTTGTGTTACTTTCCTTTGCCCCTAGCACTGGTTTGTAATACCATGTTATAACCTCATCAAAAACATACCTGGTGTGTTCTGTTTCATTCACAATTATTTGAGTAACTCTTTATTATTAGTCTGTCTTCATCTCCAGAACTCAAAATGCTCTGTTCCCCCTTGCGATGTCATGTAGTGGTAATTTTCAAGTTAGCTGCTGCCTTTTAGCTTTTGTTCAGTAGAGATTTGCAATTCCCAAGATGAAATTATCCAAATGATTCCAGTGAAGCTGTATGGTAGAGTTGGGTGGTAATACGGTATTACGGTATCCCGCAGTATCAAAATGTAGCACTGGTATCAGTTTCATTACCATCATTAAAACAATCTGCAGCGCACCTAATATAATATTATAATTTATTGATACATACATTTGTTTGCTGACCACAAATGAATGTGTGGTCGTATTTTCAATTTACAATTACGATTTAAAACTAATAGTGTCTATAATGTTTCTTTTAACTGCGTGGGGAGATGACTCATAAGGGGGACCAAGACAAGATGGCATGTCTGGCCACAAGCGAGTTGGTCCCAAAAAAAATACTAGTACTTCTGCAATTTGGCACCATTTTGGCTTCAGGTGCACATTTGTTTACATTTTACAGATACGAAACTTAAAGCCACATAAACTATGCATAAACTATAAAGCACTGATAAAAACAACCCTCCTTGTGCGCCGATGCAGTCAGCTTCTATCAGACTAAAAGACATGACTCAGTGGAATATATGTGTTCTCTCTGCGACAGAGGATGTGAAACCGTGAAAATGTGAAACTTTTCAGAGATTATAAGTCTGCAGGTCATACACATAGATCGTATAGTGGTGCGGCTTCGTAGCTTTCGTTGTCATACAAAACATTTTGGCAATACGGTAATACCATGTAACCCGGTAAAATCCTGAGGACATTTAACGGTATAAAAATTTGGATACCGCCCAACCCTAGTGTATGGAGTTTAAAAAACACTGCGGTGCACTTCCTATATAACTACATAATAACATTACAAAATGGAACAGAGTATTTTTTCAGTGTGAAAGAAGAACTCCAGGTATGTTTTTGATGAGGAAACATTAAAACTTAGATCAGAAAGTAGAGTAATATGGGCCCTTTAACAGAATCCATTAAGCAAGCATTAAAGTAGCTAAATAAAACCCCAGGTATGTTTTTTGACAAGGGAACAATGTCTTAACATGATTGAAAGCTCAAAAAATCAGGCAAGAAATCTAGGGGTAATAATGGACTTAGACTTGAACTTTAACAGCCACATCAAATCAATAACATCTGCAGCCTTTTACCATCTAAAAAACATAGCAAAAATCAAATGTTTACTGTCTAAAACAGACTTGGAGAAACTTATCCATGCGTTTGTCTCCAGTAGGTTAGACTACTGTAATGGTCTGCTCACTGGTCTCTCCAAACGAGCTGTGAGACGCTGCAGAACATCCAGAACGCTGCAGCTCGGGTCCTTACTCGAACTAGGAAGTACGAGCACATAAGTCCTGTGCTCAGGTCTCTGCACTGGCTTCCTGTGGTTCAGAGAATAGACTTTAAAGCAGCTCTGCTTGTGTACAAGTCTCTCCTTGGCCGAGAACCAAAGTACATCTGTGACATGTGTCATGTGAACCATCTCGCACTCTGAGGACCTCAGGGACCGGCCTCCTGCAGAGTCAGGACTAAACAAGGGGAGTCAGCGTTTCAGGTTCATGCAGCTAAAACCTGGAACAGTCTTCCTGAACATGTGAGACAGACTCTTCTGTGACGCTGTTTAAATCCAGGCTCAAAAACATTTCTGTTTAACTGTGCATATAACTGAAAGGTTTTCATTCTGCACTCTTCTCCCCAATTTATGTCTCTCTTTTTTAATTTTAATCTTCATGATTATTTATGTTTTGATTTGTTTTTATTATGATTTTAATGTATTTCTTATTCTGTAAAGCACTTTGAATTACTTTGTGTAGGAATTGTGCTATACAAATAAACTTGCCTTGCCTTGCCTATTGACACACACCTGCTCCAAGCATATTGAACACAAAGAAACTCATTTTCCTGTCATTCTTTGAACCAACCTCCAACCATTATCCCTCTTGAAGCCAGTCGATAGTGCTCTGACAGGTATTTTAATCAGCCATCACGGTTTACGTAGCATTGACGTAAGACTTACATTGTCCGGTGCCCATTTCCTTTTCTTTGTCCATTAAACACAGAGTGGGCTGACATTTGCAGTGCACTTTTGCTCTGCTTTCTGGTCTTTATGATTATTGCGTATTGACTTGGCGATGGTTGTCACACGGCATTAACACGGATCTGCGTAGAGGTGCGGAGCGGAGGTGAGGAGGTCAGAGGCGTTTCGCAGGCGGTATAGTAGCGTGATTGGAAGTGTGCATTTGCTATTGTGTATCTGTCCGTGACCAGTGACCCCTATTAGCATAAGGAAGAGGCTATAAAAGGATATGTGTTGCATGAGTAAACATACATATATTACTCATTGTGTTGCTCAAAGGAGTCAAGGTCTTAGGTCTTGGCTTAAAATGTGGAGCCAAATACTTAAAACTGTATCTCAACAAAACACAAAGAGTATGCATATTCTGAATATTTACTACCAAAATCTAAACACAAAACACAAAGACTGTGTGGCCTCAAAATACTGACATTAATAAAACAATATTGCATCGCTAATTGGTGGAAAATTCCCACTAATTTGTGAGTTTCCCTGGACAGTAGCGTGCCAATGCTGTCTGCAGCCTCCGAGTGAACACAGACATCACAGGAAAAAGAGGATCTGCACAAACACTTGACTGTGGATTAGTCATAGAGATATAGACTATAAAGTTAGAATTTCTCTGATTTGTATTTATCTGGAGCTCCATTAGCTGTATAAGCACAGCTATTCTTCCTTTTGATTAGATCAGTGACAATAACACAAATAAGAGGGTGGCAAATATAGTCAAGGGGATAAACTGCAGCCCATTGTAAATAAATCAGATTTAAACTTTGTGTATAATTTTGTTATAACACAATGAGAGATGCTTGCTTTTTATTACAAAGTAGGCTATCTTTTCACTTACTGGGCGGCAGTAGCTCAGTTGGTAGAGCATTCGCCCACTGATCTGAAGGTTGGCGGTTCGAATCCAGCTCTTGACATAAACATCACAGGTTGAGTGGTCAGATCCACTGGCCCACAGGTCCACAGGTTGGCTGGTGTGATTCCAGCTCCCACAGATGAATGCTGCCGTTGTGTCCTTGGGCAAGACACTTAACCCACCTTGCCCACAGTGTCTGCGTACACTGGTGTGTGAATGGGTGAGTGGTTCCTTGTTGTAAAGCGCTTTGAGTGCCTTGAAGGTGGAAAAGCGCTATAGAAAAATGTGACCATTTACCATTTCATAATTCCTTTGTCAGTTTAGCACATTTAACACAGAGTTCATAATCGTGCCTCAGGTAATCAGTGGCCATATTGTCATGTCAAAGCCTGATCTTGTCACTTTTCAGAAGCTGAGACAAGCTGGTTAGTACTGGCACCACTGGGAATACCACGTGCCACAGAGGAGCACCCGTGACAAGCGATGTGTGTGAGTGTTGGTGGTGGGAGATTGGGAGCCTCGCTTCCATCTGTCCCAGGGCAGTTGTGGCCACAATAGTATCGTTCCACTACAGAGTGTCCATCCATCCATTTTCTTCCGCTTATCCAGGGCTGGGTTGAGGGGGCAGCAGCCTAAGTGGGGACTCCCAGATTTCCTTCACCCTGGACACTTCCTCTACAGAGTGTAGACTGAATGAATAATGCAATGTAAAGCACTTTGGTGTCTTGACAGGCGTCAAAATTTGTTTATATTTTCAAAAAGTTTAAAGGTCCTTCGCTTGACTGTATTATCCAAGATCATGGCCTTGATTAAAAAAAACAAAAAACCAAAACAAACAAAACAAAAAACAGCAAAATAATATTTTACACAATGGAAAAGAAAGCTACAATATTTACTGTAAAATGCTGTGATAGAAAAGACATGTAATATGTGTATGATAGCCCACTTAATACTATGAATGAATGAAACACACATTGGACGTTGGATTTGATTGGATTTTTATTACACACTTTAACCCCAAGGTCTCATTTGCATGGCCCTGTTTACATAAGCCACCAGACAGTGATAGTGAGTAATGGAGAGCAGTGATGCACAGAGCTTTATTTATGGGCACTGCATAGACATTAAGATGTGAGTACAGCCATTATGCATATAGTATTCTGTTTAGGTGCCCAAGGGAAATGAGAGCTATAAACATGCACAAATGATTATGGACACAAGGCGACATGTATTAAAAGGCCTGTACCCAAGTTTTCCCATCTATTTGAGCAAAAAGTGTCTTGCCTCAGTACAGATATATGGATACTGTATAAGCTGCTCAGTTTAGAAAGCTTTTTATTGTCTTGATAATCAGGTAGCATGCAAGTTCTTACTACCTTTACCTCTCTCTGGTGTCTGAAGGTTGTGAAAAGGACCTGTAAATTAATTGTGGTGAATATTTAGGGTGTACGCAATACAAAATGTAAAAGAGGAAAAACT